GCCAGGGGTCGATCCTCTCCCAAAGTCGTTTCTATCAGATCAACCATAGGCCCGGTCTGTGCCAGCCTAGAGCCGATCTGAAGATGGGCCTCATGCCCTACCCTAAGCTGCTCCTAGGCAGAGGGGATGCAGGCCCGCAAAGAGGGTTGGATCAAACCCTAGGATGTCAGTGACGACGTAGGCCACCGTGGAAGAGCCGCCTTAGCCCCATGGTCAGTGCCAAGGGGCATGGCTGCGAGTGAGCCCTTGAGGGAAGAGAAAGCAGCCTTAGGGTGGGGGAAAGGCTCTGAGCTAGGCCTCAGGTGAGGGAAGGTGTGCTGAGGAAGAGTGCCCGGTTTGGGAGCATAAGTCAAGCTTAGCAGTCAGGAGCTAAAGCTGGAGATGGGGCTGGACCAAAGCGCTCAGGCTGAATGGGACAGAGTAGTAGAACATCTCCACCCTCCTTGGGGTGCTGAGTCCCTCTGCAGTCTTGTCAGATGCCACTCCGGTGGCTCACCTCCCGTGTGGGGAGCCACTCCTGTTCCTCCAGGGAGACTTTCTGTGGAACTCAGATTTCCCTGAACTGAACCGAGATGCTCTTTGATTAAACTCAGAGCAAGTTGAGGCCTTCTGTCCAAGAAGCGCCTCCAGAGGCGGGGACTCCGTGCGCAGTGTGCCTGTGCCCCCAGGTCCGCTCCTGGCCCAGCCCAGAATGCTTCGCAGGCTCGCCACAGGACAGCCTTGGGGCACAGGGTGCATGACCCTATGCTGATCGTGCCTGTCCTTCAGGTCCAACCTCATGGGCACAAAGTTCACCGTTTATGACAATGGAGTCAACCCTCAGAAGGCATCATCTCCTTTGGAAAGTGGAACCTTACGTCAGGAGCTGGCTGCTGTATGCTACGTGAGTCATGGGCTCCCGGGTCTCTGGTCTCCAAGTTAGACGTGACACTCAGGACTTGCTACCTGTCTGTGGCCTATCCTATCTACCTTTACGGGCAGACACGGAGGCGCAGTGGAGTGGCCCCTGCCTGGGACAGGACACAGCTGGCCATCTGCTTGGCGAGTTCTGGGGACTAGGCCTGGCTCTCTGAAGCCCAGCCTGGATGCCTCCTGGAAAGGAGGAGGCAGAAGGCCTGGGTTCCTGTTGGTGCAAGCTTCCAGTCCTCCCTCCCGTGTTCAGGTCCTGAATGGACTGTAAGGCCCTTTGCATTAGCATCTCATTGAATATTCAACCTAAGAGCTCCATCCTATCTTCTTGATTGTATAGATGAGGAAACCTAGGATCAGAGGTTGAGTCACTTGCCAATGTCACACAGCTCACAGATGACCAAACTGGAATGAATATAAACACAAAGGGTTTCTCCATCTCATTTCAGAATGAGGAACTGGTACCATCAGCCTGGGAATGCATAGCTGTTTTGTATGATCCAGTGGTGCCACCTGCTGGTCGGCTTTGGGGAGGCAGTCTGACTCTTCAGATACTGAGCCCCAGGTGCTATTGGAGGCTCTGAAGAGATAGTAGTGAAGAGAGAGACAAATACAGACCCTTATGGGATGTGAACCCTTAGTGGGGAGATAAGCTATAAGACAGTCATATAAGCAAAATAAATATGTTCTGATAAATGGTAAGAAGGAAAAAATAAAGCAGGGAAGAGGCTTATAAATGTCCTTTTAGGAAGGATGGCAGGGAGGGCCCTACCAAGGTAGTGCTTAGGTAAAGGCCAGAAGGAAGTGAGAGCCAGCTGTGCAGGTGTCGGGGAGAACACAGCGAGTGCCAAAATCCTGGATGCCTGGCATGCAGCGGGAATAGCAAGGAGGTCAGAGAATGCAGGGGAGTGGTGAAGAGAGGGGGTAATGGGGCCGTATGACGTGAGGCCTTGCAGGTCGAGGGAGGACCGTCAGCTTTTACTCTGAACTGAAGAGGAAAATGATCTGACTGACCAGGACCACTCACCGCTGTGTGGAGAACAGATGACGGGGAGGAGGGTGGGGGGGTGAGGAAACAAGGATTCCAGCTAAAGGCCGGTACTGTGATCTTGGTGAGGGGTGGTGGTGGTGAAAAGTGGTTGAACTCTGAATATAATTTGAAGGGAGAGCCGACAGCATTTGCTGATGGATTAGAAGTGGGGTGTGAGGGAGAGGGGGGAGTCAAGTATGACTCCAAGTAGTTTGAGCAGATGGAAGAATTGAGATGCTCTTAAGGGGAGCGAGGAGGACTGTAAGAGCAGCTCATTTGGGCAGAGTGGAGATTCAGGAGCGCACTTCCGGACGTGGTAAGTTTAGAGATGCCTGTTAGACATGTGAGTGGTGGAAGCTAGCTCAGCTCAACTTTATTCCCTCCCCCCAGTCTCTCCAGTAGGTAAGTTGAGTCCTCACAGGGCCAGTGTTGAGTTCTCTGTCGCTATTTCCTAGGAAACAAATGTTTTAGGTTTCAAGGGGCCGCGGAAGATGAGTGTGATTGTCCCAGGCATGACCATGGTTCACGAGAGAGTCTGTATCCGGCCCCGCAACGTGAGTCTCTACCCCATCCCACCCGCCTTCCCCATTATCCCAGCGTCTGCATGAGCGTCTAAGGGCAGAACTCCAGCTGGTGTGTATGTGTGGAGGAGACACAGTGTGAGAAGCCCTGGAGGTCTAGGGAAATCTAAGGACTCCCACCCCTGGGGCAGATCCCTCTTTGGGGGGGGTCATGGTGCCAAGGCCTGGGCCTGGCTCAGCTGAGGCTGCCCTCCCAGGAGCATGAGACGCTGCTATCACGCTGGCAAAATAAGAACACGGAGACTATCATTGAGCTGCAGAACAAGACACCTGTCTGGAATGACGACACGCAGTCCTACGTACTCAACTTCCACGGGCGCGTCACTCAGGCCTCCGTGAAGAACTTCCAGATCATCCACGGCAATGACCGTGAGTGTTTCTGCCCTGACTTTACTGTCCACGTGATACCCGGGGCCCTTAGCTCAGGGTTCAGCTCACCTAGCCCTGCCCGTAGAGGTCAGAGTTTAAGGACATGGATTATACGGCTTAGATTAGGTGTAAAGAACTTTCTAACCATAATGACTGGGAGGCCCTGGAGGAACCTTCTCTGGAGCCCTGACCCTAGATTCTGTGCACTCAGCAGAGTCTCAGGCGTGGGAACACCCTTTGAATGGACTTCCTCTCTTCTTCCCTGTCTCCTGGTGTTTGTATGCATCTTTCTCCTCTGCCACCTGTTCCATCTCTCCTGCCACTTCTCCCAATTGGTCTGTGTTTTACCTCTGGGATTCTCTTGGCTTCTCTGCTTCTCGCTTTCTCTTCCCTCTTGTGATTTGGGTGTCTGTCCTTCCCCATCTCCGCCATCCCTGCTCTGCCCTTCTGTCTCTGTCCACACTTGTGCCTGGCTCCAGCGGACTACATTGTGATGCAGTTTGGCCGTGTAGCAGAGGACGTGTTCACCATGGATTACAACTACCCATTGTGTGCGCTGCAGGCCTTTGCCATTGCCCTGTCCAGCTTCGACAGCAAGCTGGCCTGCGAGTAGAGGCCACCTCGTGCCCTCTGGGGTTGCCCAGCCTGGAGTGGAGCTGCCTGCCTGCGGAGACAGCCTTGCCGACCCCCTGTACATAGGCCTCGTGCCAGGTGACCCTTTGGCTCTCAGTGGGCTCCTGGGCCCAGCCATCCAGGTACTGGCTCCTGCGCCTCCACTGCTGAGGCAGAGGAGTGGGGGATATGAAGGGACCAGCGTGAATTCTTTCTGCGCCCCAAGATCAACGCCCCCACCCCCGACCCTTGGGTTGGTATCCTGCTGCAGTCACGTTTGCCAAGCTGAGCAGCCTCTTCAGCCGGGGAGGCAGGAAGAGGTGTAGAGGGAGAGGAAGCACAGTGCAGGGCTGCGGGGGCCCGGCCGTGCACTCAGCCCAACTGTGAGGGGCACAGTGAGTGTGTGTGTGTAAGTGTTAGGGCACACCTACTTTACAGAGCAGAGGGCTGGGGAGCCGAGCCTGGCCCTTACAACTACACAAAGTTCTCCAGCTTCGGAAGGCCTCAGCTGGGCCTGGGAAGAGTTACGGGCATGGGGAAAGGTGAGTGGCAGGACCTTGCCAGGGTTGCAGGGGCCCAGCTGTGGCTGTGGGAATTGGCTGGTGGCTAGGGTTTGAGCTCATTTGATTTCTCTGTGTGCACAGAGGCGGCAGGAGGCCAGCCCCCAAGGTCAGATCTCTTATAGAGGATGGGGCCTGCAGGACGCAGGCTCAGCATACAGGCGGCACGTGGGACAGGGCTGTTCCCCAGGAGCTCCCTGCTGAGCAGTCCCTGCACAAACCCCATGAACCCCAGGACACCAGCCCCAGACTGCACACAGGTAGGCGTGCCTGGAGCTCCCGCCTGTGCTTCAGCTCCCACTGCAGTCAGCCTGGGCTGTGGTTGCTGAGGGACTGTATGTGGTTCTTCTTAGCTGGGAATGGGACAGGGTAAGGAGAGCAGGAAATGTTTCAGAACCACAAAAGATCTGAGAGATCTAGAAAGTAGGACTTGCCCTGGGTCACCTGGCTGGTTAGGGGCAGAGTTCGGAGTTTCAGCTCCCTTGTCCCCACCATCCCCCAAGAAACTGCTCTCTCTGACCTTCCTGGGGCACAGTCCGCATGCCCGTGCACCTGATTCCGGAGACTTAGGGATGTTCAGTGGGAAACTGGGCAGTTCCCTGCCGAAAGCTGCCTGGATTTTTGCATGTCCGTCTGATAGTGACTGGCCTGTGCCTGGCTCCTCCCCGAGGGCAGGCCTCAGCAAGGCTGCTGCCCATTTTGCTACCTAGGTGTGACGGGTGGGTTGTGGGTGTTCAGGGCTGCGCCTGACCTCTCCCTCCGCCGCCCTCCTCCGTGGATGGTACCATCTACTCTGACAACTTGGGAAGTCTTGCATATTTGTCATTTACCCTGACAGAGGCTACTCACCCAGATGGAGATCGGAAATCAGTGGGAAGCAAGCAAGGGTTGTTCCCCACTTCAGAGCAGATGCGCTTGGAAAGACTACATAGAGGTCGGTTTTTTAAAAAGTAAACATGTTAGCAAGGCTCTGAGGTGAAGTTGTTCTGACTTCAGTGGGAGTAGTATGCTCTCATTTCCTGGTAATCTGGGTTTTCCTACGTTGAGTGCTTAAAGCAGGACCTCCTCGTTCTAGCAGGGATCTGCCCACACCTGGGGCATATGTCTCTGTGAGAGGCCCCTCCAGTGATCCAGGTTTTGTTAACATGGTCTAGTTTCTGGACAGCTCTTGACTTGGGGCCATCTTTAGGGCACTAGAACCTTCTATACCGGAGCTGGTCCACTTGCCAATGAAATACTGTCGCGCCGTCCTCCTGTCCATAGTCCCAGTTTGGCTCTTCCTTTCTTGACTTTGAAAAGAGAGACCTGCTGACATTTAGAATGATGGAAAGTAGATGATCTCTAAAGTCTAGTCAAGCTGTTTCTCTGGGTCAGTGATTTTAAGGTAGAACAGGTTGGTTCTGGATCCTCATGAGAGAGGGGATCCTGGGGCAGAGTGGAAAATTCATCAGAAGCACAATGGAAAACTAGTCCCCTGCTTTTTCCTCTAGTACACAGGGGAGGGGGTTGAAAGGTGTTTTCGTAGGGTCAGGAATGTGGCCTGAGAGTCCCAGCCTGGGCATGGACAAGGGTAGCTCAGCAACAAAACCCTCTGTTGGGCACTGAGTGACCAGCAAGAGTACTCGAGTCACCTGCTTAAGACCCCAGCCTCGCAAGGAGGTCTGTTCTGAAGACCCCATTCCTGGTGATGCTGGTTCTCCTTGACCACTGGCCTCATAGCCATGGGCCCAAAGACTCATAAAGCTGCCAGGGCCCCTGGAGGCCACCTGGGTTCAGCCTCTCCCACAGGAAGAGTTCTTGCCCTTCATACCCTCTAACCAGATGGTCCTTGGTTGGGCAGGGAACTTGGTGATGGAATGAGCAGTCCCTAAGGGTGTTGGGTAGCTGGGACCTTAGGCAGCTCCTCTGTAACTGCTCCTAGCTCTAACTCCCTCCTCCTGGGGCCACACCCCCAAACAGTTCTACAGAGCAGTGAAGTTCACTTCCTTAACTCTTCCCCAATTCTGGCTTTTCTTTCCTTCTGGCTCCAAGGTGCTCTGTGTCTGTCTGTGTGTCTCTGTGTGTATTTGGGGCAAAGGGCAATCTGTGAACAATCAATTGAGGGTTCCTATTACAATCATATTTCTACAGATGAATAGGAAAGGAATAAGGATGTAGTTATGATCACCGGTGGATTTTGTTCATTTCGTGCTCTTTGATCAGAAAGTATACTTGGGAAAGTACCAACTCTTTCTCCCAAGGTTCGGATTGGGAAGACGACACCATCCCCAAAAGTTTAGTTCTTCAGTTCCCACTTTGCATTACCTGAAGAAATTGGTGTGTTGCATGTGTGCTTTTGGATGAATTTGAACTTATTCTAGTTGAATGTGCCTTAAAAATCATGACACTAATTCAGAACGAGCATGTAAGGTCCAGACCCATGCTGAGGACAGGTGTTAAAAGCCAGGGAGTGTGACAATCACAGGCTAGAAGACAACATTTGGGGCCCACCTCCTTCACTGACAAGGGCAACAAAATTGTAGACGCAGACATCGTTCTTTGCTCTGGAAATGGTGGGGCATTTACTTCTAAATGAATTTACTATATATTTAGAGGCAGTTCTGAATTTAGCAAGCCACAGTGATGTGCTTTCCTTACAGTGAGGGGAGAGGCTGGGCTGGCTGTGTCCACGGCTTTGCTATGCAAGCACAAATTCCATCTCCTAGATGGAGTCCCTGGCTTTCCCTTCCTGCGGGAACACCAGCCTGCCCCCCTCTACAATTCTTCACCCCAGCTGAGATGCCCCTGTGACCTCAGGATGCCAGGTGGCCCTCAGGGCACATTTTTGTAGATAGCTGAATGAGTTTGGTGCCCAGCACTGAGTGGGGCCTGACTCCCCTGCACTCAGGGCCCGGCGTTGGGACCCTACACTGCCCTGGGCCCTGGCTTGTAGAACTTTAGCAGCCCCAGGAACAGGCCAAAGGATGGGCTCTTGTTTGAGTTTAGTGGTCACCTGTCCTTCCATACCTCCTGTTTGTAATTTTCTGTCATCTCAGGATATGGGGGGAAAGGTACAGCAGAAGTATTTGGGACGGGTTTGGGTTTTGAATTCCAACCAAGTTGAGAGGCAAGTTGGTCTTACAGAAAGCACTACTGCACTTAGTAACCATGTAGTTTTGAGCAAACCACGTGATTTCTCTAGGTCTGTTTTCTCACCTACGAAATAAGGAGGTTGGACTGTCAACAGCTTGCAGTAGGATTCAGGGTGAATGAAAGTTGATCCTTGCTCTCATCACTTTCTAGCTCATCACCGTGCCTTTTTTCTTTCCTAAGAAAGACGTCACACCCCTTTCCTCTTCTCTTCTGTTGTCCCTCCCTCCTTCTCTATCAAGGTCCAGGCAGAGCTGGAGATGAGGCCAAGATCCAGAATTTCCTAGAGAGTAACAGAGTGGCTTAGAAAGGGAAGCCCGACTCTGGCCTCTTTAATCCTGCATTTGGTGACTAAGGGGACTTAGGATGGTGACACTTCCCTTGTTGGGAGCATACATTTAGCCAGTTTTCATAATGCCTAGAATGTGTATGTCTATTTGCACAAGATTGTCTTTTCCTATTTTGGAGTGGTCAGACATTTTATTTTTGTTCAAAATCATCAAGTTTTAGACAAACTTGCAAAACTGTGCTTTTATTAAGTGACTTTTTGAATAAACTCTTTGGTATTCTGGAGCAAATGTATTTATTTACTGGTATGTGCAATGACAAAGTTGGTATTTTCCCATGTTGACATTATGTATGTTGTAGAACTTAGTGTTTGTCTAAGTACAGACCACAAACCATATATCAACAAATTAAACTTGACCTGTTTCAACACTGCTGTGCACTTTTTTCCCCCTATAAAAGAAAAAGACATGTTTCTTACCTAAAAGTTTTTTTCTACATCATTCATTCCTTCTGTCCTAAGAGCCTCAGGGGTGGGCAGGAGGTGGTGGTAACAAGGGGATCATAGCTTGTTTAGAAACCATCACATATGGGTGGAAACTGTCTTCCCTCTGGCCGTGCTCATCAAGTTTAAGGATGGTCAGAACCACACACGCAGAGGCTGGATGGGCTAGAAGAAGGGTAAGGACAGAAGGTACTTAAGTTAGAGCATCCTCTGCAGGGTCAGCTGTGCCAGCTGGAAGAATGGGCTGCTGCTTCCTAAGTAAACCCCTGTGGGCCTGCCCCGCACAAAAACAGGGCCATAGAGCTGAAAAAAGGTGAGAAAGGCCCAAGTGGTAGAAATAACATGAAGACCCAGCCACTGGGTTCCTCTAGCCCTATGCAGAGCAGCCTAACCTGTTTAAACAGGACTTGGACACACTACACACTTGGGAATTTTCTTTTCGGCCTGTGGCAGATCTGAAGCCAACAGCAAGGGAGGCTGTAGTTGTGGCTGGAAGCAGACAGGAAGGCTATGGGTCTGATCCTGAGGGAGGTCAAAACTGAAGTCACCCAGAGATTGCAGGACCTGTGCTCTGGGCCATTCCCAGCAGTCAGGGTAGCCTTGGAGCGTGTCAAGGGCGACAGCCCAGCAGCACAGGACCTGATGACAGAGTGTGATGCTGTTGATGGCACTGGCGTGAGCACCTAGCACAGGCTACACCCTGGACAGACACTACACACAGCATTGTGAGGGGGGATTATTCCCAGTGCATAAGTGAGGAAACTGGTGCAATCAAGAAAAAGGAGAAATTTGGCCTATTTACTTTGTATAAGAAAATGGGAAAGGAAAAACAAGGTTAGGTACATTTTAGAAACACTTGTGTGAAAATGGTCAAGGCAAAGTCTGTGATACTTCACGTTTTTCTCATTGCTGGGTAGCTGAAGTATTAGATTTTCCTTTGGTACATAAATAGTCTGGGTTGAGGGAATCTTAAGAGTGTGGTAATAAGTAGGGTTGGTTTATTACCCCAGATTTGGAGTTTTTTGTGGTCAACAGCATTTCCTACCTGAACTGTGGCCTCTCTCCTTGGCTCTGCCTCTGGGAAATAACATTTGCAGGGAACTACTAAAAAGGAAAGAGATTTTCGTTGTTTAGTGGTCAGGTTAAAGACAAATCTCGTAAATTAGCCCTGGACAGGGTCCGTGGAGAGTCCTAGCTTACAGCTATTATCCTGGCATAATTAAAGCTCCCTTTTCCCAAGTCCTAGTTTACAGCTATTATCCTGGCATAATTAAAGCTCCCTTTTCCCAAAGTGTCCCAGATTGGACCGTAAGTCATTGGATCATCCCCAGGCCATAGAGGGTGCAGAGAGTGGGGTCCTCACAAGCCGTCTCTTCTAGAGGCCAAACGTGCCCGCACTCCTCTATGCAGCTCTCTGGGCCTGGCTCCTGAGCTCACATAGCACTAGTCCTGGAACTAAGGAGGTACTCTCCTTGTGCTCTTATTCTGACCAGGAAAAGGGGATCTCCTGGCCGGATCACCCACCTGATTTACCAAGCATGGTCCCAGGTGATGCAGTTGTTTCCTGGGCCAACTATCTGCCCCCAGAGGTATGACTGTGCTCTGCCACGGTGCCTAAAAGTCACTGCAGACCTAGTGCCAGGGGACTCAGCCTAGATCAGTTCTGGAGAAATGAAGACCAGGAGGAAAGAGACAGCAGGCATGAAAACAAAAGCCAGTCCCATGCTTCTGGTCCTCCTGGATTGTATATACAAATATAATTGTCATCCCTGAAGAATAACATAATTCTGAAAAATCCAAAAAGGACTGCCTAATCTGAAATTATTGAGAAGTACATTAAAATTTTTGAAATATAAATACATAAATATATTCCTGCTATACAAACCCACCAAGAACCATGGCAGCAAGAGCTATCATGAGGTCTTAGTACTTCCAGCAGGAACTATTTCCGTAAGCCAATTTCCCCCAAAGATTAACATTCCAAAAGAGAGTTGGTTATGTGACACCTTACATACCAGCCTCATCAAAATACCTGAACTTCGTCCTTTTACTTTCACACCCCACTGCTCTAACACCACCCTTTCTGCCAAGAATGTCCTTTCTCTTCCTTGCACAGCTGGAGTTCTTAGCATCCCTCAAGACCCACCTCCTCTGTGAAGTTTCTTGAAGTACTTTAGCAAAAATGATCTTTTTTGGTGCTCCCATAGATTTGGGTCCGTATCTCAAATACAGCATAAAACCTTGTACAATAAAAAGTAAAGTGGCTACCGCTTATTGAGTGGTTATCCTGTATGAGATAGGATAGTGCTGTTTTATAGGCACTGATGATTTCATTTAATCCTCATAACTACCCTGTGAGACCTGGACTTTGACCCGCCAGCTTTAGTGAGAAAGCCAAGGTTCTTGGGGTTAAGGAACTGGCCAGATTCTACAACTAGAATAGACAAGGATGGAATTGTGACCAACATTTCTCTGCCTGCAGAATTCTCGATCTTGAGCCCTTTTATAGTTCACAGTTCATTTTTAAAAATAAATTGGATACGGCTCCCACATTCAGCTGAGTTTTTTTAAAGGTAGGAATTGAGCCTTCTGTTCCCACTGCCTAGCTCTGAGCAGTGTCTGCTGAATGAATAAATGAGTGAATAAGCTAGAAGGAAACAAATACATACCTCTAATAAGGGAATCATATCCTAAGGCAAAAAAGAAACTCGAAACAGGCTCCCAGAACTCTTCTCATAAATCAACCCCTCATTGTGAATGAAGAGAAACAACACGAAAACTAATTTATCGAAACAGTAAAGAGCACCTACATTATTTTTTACCTTCAGCATTACATTACATCTAGACTGTTTTTAGTACATTTTAAACTGTATTCTTTACAAGTGAATCAAATGTTCCACACAGAGATAGAGACAATATGCTTTCTATAGACTCAGTCTTCAGTGACTTTTCTCTGTAGTCATTAACTAACAAATTCACAGCAGTAGCTGATACGTTATCTTAATACAATCCTGTACCTGTGACAGCAGTGTGTATGCTTATGTGATTTAATAGTGATTAAACTATCTTCCTGGCCGCTTGCTCATGCCAGGCACAATGGAACTCTAAAAGCCAAGTCTACCTTTACATGATTTCTTAATTTTCAAGTCTTCTGCATTTCATGACTGGGAATATCCTCAGGAATGTGTCCCCTTTAAACTCTTAGGTCTTACCTGTAAACTGAATTCACTCATCCTCACTAGACAGAATACATCTTACCTCAAGGAGACGCGTGACAGATCGCAGCTCAGAGATAGGCTTTTGGTTTGGTCACAGTCCTCCCAGTCCTAACCGACCTCCTACTTTGCCCAGCTTTCTCAACAGACTCAGACATCCACATATGGAACAAATAGTCTCTTCCCGGGCAGTGCTGCATTGGGTCCCTGCAGCTTCCCTGCTGGGCTGGCACTTGGTCTATAAGCTCAGTCCTCCTCGCTTCTGTTTCAATTGAATTTGTTGTGAGAACAAACTTCCCAGAGGGTACAACATTCAGAAACAGCATCTAAGCAAGGACTGCCTATAAGCGCATGGGTTCTCTCCCCATCACCGGCTCCCTGGCCTTCTGAGCATCTCACGGCAGGACCACCACCCTTCGGCAGGCTTTCCTGAAGCCTCAAACCTTGGCTCTGCAGGGCAAGGACTAAAGTCTCTAACTCAAGTTTCCTCTGGCCACTGAAGACCAGAGGTACAAAGGTACTTATGCATTTGGCAGTTCTGTTAAGCAGAACAGGGATAAAGGAAGCTAGAGATCCAGGCAATAGTAGAGCAAAACCATCCCCCAATAAGCCTCTAGGTTCATTCTCAGGTCAGTGGGAGTCTTCTACTCTGGAGAAAAGTGGAGATCTGAGGCAGCCTGGGTGCCCCTAAAAAGGGCCTTGCTGTGAGAAAGGGGCTTCAGTTCAGACAGCAGAGTCTTACCCTGCTCTGGCCCCACCATCCCGACTAACAGAAGGTTTTCTTCTTGAGCTCAGCGGACTACTAACCTGCTCAAGGCCCACAGAATAAGGTATTTTGGACTCTGAAATCTTCACTCTTACAACCTTAAGTCCTCATCATGTATAATCTGATGTTTGTTCACAGGTAAACCATCTGTTACTCCTAACACGAAGAGTCAGACCTCTGCCCTGAGTGGTCCCATCTGTAATCACAATAGATAGAAAATTACTCAGTGGATCAACTCTCTGATGGAGGAAAGGCAGGAAGAGAGAGAGGGAAGCTGTCTTGTGTTCATACTGATTACTGTGATGTTTTACAGGTGACAGGTGTGTAAGCACCAGGAAGGACACATGATATCCATGGCAGTGGCCTGTCTATGATATTTAAACACAGAGAATGAAACACAGGGCACAGGGCCAAGGTTGAAATCAGAGAGGAGAGAAAGGTCACCTTGGGACTAGAGTAATGGGCACCTCACCAAACTGGCTGTCTGTACTCTAAACGGTGGGGGTCCCGCTTCCTCAGCATGCCCCCTGCCTCTGCTCTATCAGCACTAACGCCTGGCCCTTCATCTCTCAAGTCGCGGGGCCACATTTCTTCGGTGGTCTCCTCTTGCTCACGGTAACTGTCTGCACCAAATCCAGCATTCTCTGCCACGACAGCGGGATCCTCTTCTTCATGAAAACAGCGGGAACATGTTTCTGCCTCTGGGTCACATGAGGTAACAGAATTATCTTCCTGAGCTCTGGGGTCAGTAGGCATTTCCCACCCCAAATGGCCTGATCCTTCTTCTTCTATCACTCCCATTCTTTCAGCTATTTCCTCGGCAGAGGGCTCTTCTGGGTCAGGGTAATCCACCAGGATTGTTTCTTGCCTACGCTTGATGCAATCTGAAAGGTCATAAATTGGATAGGTCTCTTCCGGGTAACCTAGAGAAAAAAGCAGTACAAAGTCTTACAAAGAATGTCTCTTCCAAATAAAGTGTCAGGCTTCTCAAGCAGCAGCCATCCTATCCCAACAAATCCATTCAAGAAGATTCTAACGGTTCTCAAGTTTCACTTGAGCAAATTCTTGGCGATCTGGCTGACTGTCCCCCAGCTCTTTGAAATACAAATCAATTCAGTTGAAAATCCCTTCTTAAGTGCAGGGTGCTTGGGGCAGAGTGTTAAGTCTCACTCCTCAAGCTTCTGCAGTAGTGATGAAGATTAAACAAACAACATGAGCCTCAGTTTAAAAAAAATGTACCAAACACCAGATGGAGAGAGCATAGCTCAAGGCTAATGTTTATAATTTCTACTTGGAACCATTTCCAAATCTTCCCGGGAGGAGGGAGGAGGGAGGAGGAAAGGAATGGGGGGGCGGGGGGGGGGGGAGGAGGGAGGAGGAAAGGAATGCTGAGCTCTTTGAAAAATACACGACAAAGCCTTCTGCTAATCAAAACAATTGAAATGGCTTGCAAGTGTCAGAAAGAGAGAGCATTTTAGCAATATATGTCCAAGATCCCGAAGGACAAGGACTGCATTTTCAGAAGGCAGAATTTCCATTGTTGGCTTCTTCCTCTTCACAAAAGGGAACAAAAGAAAACAACAAACTGGTAAACAAAATGAATCCCAGCAATGATAATGAGAAAAGAGAAAATGTTGCCAAATTGAAGAACAAAATGAAATACATCTGTGTCAGCCAAGCCGTGCCTGAGCAGCAGATGGGCCGTGCTGGAGCTCATATGCCAGTGCTGGCAACAGCAGCCATGCTCGGCGCACAATGGGAAAGCTGGAGGATTTGAAATCCATTTGCACATTATGATAATTGGCAAATTGAACCCTGACATAAACCATCTTTTTGCCTACAAATTCTGAAAAGCAGGGGTCTTTTTTGGTGCCATGTAGAGCGTGGAGAGACATTTTTACGTTTATAATTAGGAGGAAAAAACAGTCACACAGACTCAGTTGTAGAAAATATGAAAACCACAGACAAGTTTTAAAAAGAAAACACAAATCACCTAGAATCCCACCACTGACAACAATGTGTTGTGTTACCTGTGGCCTTTTTATCACATATAAACATATATCTTTCTCTTTTTTTTAACAAAGAGGGATCATACTGTATATAAAATGTTGTACCCAGATTTTTTTCATTCAACATTGTATCGTGAGCCCTTCTCCGTGTTATTAGGCATTTTAAAGTTGGCTGCAAAGTATTCCATCATACAGCTACGTAACTGACATGATTTACCATGCCTCTTCTATAAGACATTTAGATTCTTTCCAATTTTCCATTATAAGTTTCATATTAGTTAAGATCCCTGAATATAAATCTATGTCCACTTCCCTATTTCTTTAAGATAGACTTTTAGAAATATGAAAACTAGACCAAAGGGAATGGACATTTTAAAAGCCTTTTTTACACTCTGCCAAATTACTTTCCAGAAGAATGGTATAAATTTTAGTCCTACCAGTGATGTAAAAAACTGTCCATCTTATCACATCCTCACCAGCACTAAGAGTAGTATGTCAAGAATCTGGCCAATGCAGTCTTAGTTCCCAGGCTCATAGGTAAACTGGAGCTTTGCTACCCAAGGCCCTCACAGTCTCCTTGGTCAAGGGCAGAGGCTGGGGAAGTCCATTTGCTAGTTAGCTCCTAGCCACTGCATGCCTAAGAGAAGTCCATCCTCTGGCATGTTCCTGCCTTGTCCCCACCAGGAACAAAGCTTGCCGTTGGAATTCCATGACTATCTGCTTTGGTTTACGAGGGGGAAGCCTGCTGAGGAGAATCAAATAGTGACTCACATAACTACTTAGGTAGCCCGTATCAGCCAAGGCACTGGTTACCCAAAACTTCATTAGAAACATGAGCAAGCAGCAAAAACTCACTGGTCCTACGAGGAAATCAGCAGCTCACAACAGGAACCAAACTAAGCAAACTATGTAAATAGCCCCTGAAAAAAGTCAATGCAGGAAACAAGAGTTAATGTCAATCAGCTTATAATTGATGTTCCCGGTAATATTCAACAGGTTATTGAATGTATAAAACCAACCAGGCTTCAATATAAAAAAGGGAGCAAACACAATGTAATAGAGAGCTGTTAGAAACTCATCATTACAAAAAAAAATTTAAACTTAATAGAGGAAGAAAAGAGTAGGTTGAAATAAACATGACTGAGAACCAAATTAATATACTAGAAGTTCAAGGTGAGGAATTCTCCCAGGACAAAGATAAATATGGCAAAGAAATGGAAATCATGAGAAAACAGATAAGCTGCACAGAAGACCCATCCAAGATCGAATCTCAGAATTACTAGAATTCTACAATGAGAGGGCAGAACAGGTTAAATGGAAGCAATAAAATTACAAGAAAATATTCTTTACTTGAAAAAATAACTCAAGTCTTCAGATGGATAAATGCTAGGTAAAAATACCTTGAAAAATCCATACGGAGACATATGCTGATGAATCTGTACAAATTCAAATTTTTTGTGGGGGGAGGGGCTTAAGGAAGTATTCTGACAGATACAAAAATTAATCAAAAATTTAAATTCAAGAAAGAAGATACTGTACACAAGTGGTAAAAAATGAAATCAATAAGAATTATCAATGTAAAATAATCATTGATAATGTGGTTAGAAATTTAATGCCATTGTTAAATACTTAAAAGAGAAAAGGCTGTAAAAGCTAACATCACTTATAGCTAAAATTCTACCTAATTTCAACAAAACCTAAGCAGTAGGTAGAAAATAAATATGATAAAAACTTTTTACCTTATTTGGGAACAAGGTTATATAATGAAGATTTGCAATTTGCAAGAAAAAAAGGAATTCCAATTTTCATTTCATTGATTACTAGTGAGAATGGAATAATTTTTCTTCTGTTTTGTAGCCAGTTGCACTGTTTTCTTTTGTGCACTGCATATCTAGGCAGATATCAGTGTTTTCTAAATTAGTTGTAGAACTTTTTGTATATTAAAGATATCAGCTTCTTTGCTGATATCAATCATATTTGTTACGAATCTTTTTCCAGTTTAGTGCTGGCTTTGAAAACTTTATGACATTCTCTGATCTACAGAAAAGGTTTATGTGCACTATGTAAAACACTATCCTTTCCCTTATAATTTCTTGCATTGCTTTTCTAAAATAATTTTTTATTTTGTGTTAATCGTAGATTCACATCTGGTTATAAGAAATAATACAGAAATCCCATGTACCCTTTACCTAGTTTCTTCTAATGGTAACACCTTGCAAAACTATATGCTACAATATCACAACAAGGATATTAATACTGATACAGTCAATATACAGAGGTTTTCTATCACCACAAGGATCCCTTATGTCGCCCTTTTCTGGCCACACCCATTCCCTCCTGCTCCCACTCCCTCCTTAACCTCTGGCACCTACTAGTTTGTTCTCCATTTCTATCATTTTGCCATTTCAAGAATGTTATATAAATAGAAACACATTATATAACCTTTTGGAATTAGCTTTTTTTCATTCAGCATAGTCATCTGGAAATCCATGCAAGTTGCTGCATGTATCAACAGTCCATTCCTTTTTACTGCTGAGTAGTACTTCACAGTATGTACGTACCAACACAGTGTTTAACTTCAACTTCACCTGTTGAAGGACGTTTGGGTTGTTTGCACTTTGGGGCTATGACAAATAAAGCTGCTATAAATATTTACGTACAAGCTTTATCTGAACATAAAACTTTCCATTTCCCTGGGATAACTGTCCAGAAGTACAACTGCAAGGCTGTGTGGTAGCTACGTATTTAGTTTTTTAGGAAACTGCCAAACTTTTTTCCAGTGTGGGTGTATTTTACATCCCCACCAGCAGCGTAAGAGTGAATCCAACTTCTTGCCAATTAAAATCCCATCAGGCTTTTTTCTTTTTGTAGAAAGTGACACACTGATTCTAAATTTATATGAAAATGTGAAGTGCCTAGAATTACCAAAATAATTTTGGAAAAAAACATAGTTGAAGAACTTGGGCTACCTGACTTCAAGACAATATAAAGACACAGTGATAAAGACATTATGGCACTGGTGTTAAGTATAGACACATAGATCAGTGAAACAGTAAGTCCAGGGGCTTCCCTGGTGGCGCAGTGGTTAAGAATACGCCTGCCAATGCAGGGGACATGGGTTCAAGCCCTGGCCCGGGAAGATCCCACATGCTGTGGAGCAACTAAGCCCGTGTGCCACAACTGCTGAGCCTGCGCTCTAGAGCCTGTGAGCCACAACTACTGAGCCCGTGGTGCCACAACTACTGAAGCCTGTGCGCCTAGAGCCCATGCTCCGCAACAGGGGAAGCCACCGCAATGAGAAGCCCATGCACTGCAATGAAGAGTGGCTCCTGCTCGCCACAACTAGAGAAAGCCTGCGTGCAGCAACGAAGACCCAACGCAGCCAAAAATAAATAAATAAATTTATATAAAAAAAATAGTAAGTCCAGAATACACCCACACATACACGGGCAAATGATTTTCCATTTTCCAAAAGGGGAAGGGTTGGTTGATTTCCAACCAACACACCAAGGTAATTAAATGTAACAAAATAAACTGGAACAATAGGATATCAATATGGAAAAATATTAACCTCAGTCCTGATACCTCACACCATATATAAGTAACTAAAAATAGATCACAGGCCTAAATGTAAGAGCTAAAACCATACAATTTCTAGAAGAAAACAGAGGAGTTAGGCAAACTTTGAGTTAGGCAAATATTTCTTAAACGCACACAATGAAAGTGAGTCAGAAAAGAGAAAATGATAAACTGGACTTCATCAAAATGAAAAAAACTTCTGTTCTTTGAAAAGATGTCACTAAGAAAATAAAAAGGCAAGCCACAGACTAGGAGAAAATATTTGCAAAATTCACAACTGACAACTTATATCCAGACTATAGAAGGAACCCTTGCAACCAGAACACAACCAACTCAATAAAGAAAGTGGCAAACAATGTGAACAAACTTCACCAAAGATATACAGATGGCAAATAAGTGTGTGAAAAAATGTTCAACATCATTAGTCACTGGGGAAATGCATACTAAAGTCACAAGCTAGATAGCATTATACACTCACTTGAATAGCTAAAATTAAAAAGACTGATGATACCAAGTGTTACCAAGGATGTGGAGGACTGCAATTCTCATACATTTCCAGTGGGAACGCAAAATGGCAGAGCCACTATGGAAAGCAGATTGACAGTTTCTAACAAAGTTGAACATACATGTATAAAACGCCAAAACATCATTCCTAGATATATACACAAATATATGTTCCAACAAAAACACGTACACAAAAGTTCATAGTAGATTGCTTCATAATAGCTCAAAGCTGGCACCCAAATGTTCCTGAACTGGTGAATGGAGAAACAAACTACATCCAGACAACAGAACACTACTCAGCAATTAAAAGAGAGCGAGAACTACTAATACACTCAACACATGAGGCTCAAAAGCGTTATACTAAATCAACAAAGCCAGAAACAAAAGAGCACGTGCAGTATGATCCATTTATATAGAAAAGGTAAAACTCTAGGGACAGAAAGCAGTTCAGCTGTTGCCAGAGCGGGAGGGGATTAGCAGCAAAGTGGGTGGGAACGTTCTGAGATGATGGAAATAGCATGACTAAATCATCACTATGGTATGATTATATAACTCTACACATTTGTCAAAACTTATCCAACTACACACTTAAAATTGGTGAACTGTATTGTATCTACATTATACCTCCGTAATAAAGCTGACTTTTAAAAATTTTGTAAGATCTCTTTTCTGGGCTGATGGTTAACAAAGAGATAAGAAGACACTGTTTACCTTCCCAGTCCTCCATGTAAGGAGCCTCCTCAGCTTCTTTCTCTGGAGTGGGTCTGTCAATGAATTTTCCTTCTTTCATGACCCTGGTGATTTCTCGGAGCTGATGCAGCAATCGTTTTTCTTGGTCAGAAGTCACGGCCTGTGCTCTGCTTAGAAACAGCAGACAATCCGGCCAGTTAGTGGTAAATACTCCTAGGCAAGGAACATAAACATCACTGTGATCTGTCTGGACTCCAGGAAGTTCAACAGCAACAGATAATTACTCTGGGAACTGATCCTGGAACTGCATAGCTGGGAACTAGAGATGTCAGTTCAATGTTTTGATTTTATAAATGGGAAAACTAAGGCCCAGAATAGATCAAGTGACTGTCCAAGGTCCCAGAATGATTTAATGTCAATACTGAGACAAGACCCCAGCTGTCTGAGCCTTCAGTTCAGTGTTCTTTCATTACACCTCACTGCCCTGATTCTCTAATCTCAAGCAATTTCACCATTACTTATATTATTCCATTTACAAACAAGCCACTTTTCTCTGAAGTAATGTCATCAAAAGAAAATGTGCTGGACCATTTGCCTCAACTAGGGAAAAATATGCTACTAGGCCAACCCTGGAATTACCAGGCTGAATCTGTTTGTGCAGAAATAAAGATATATCCTAAAATTTCAGAGCTGGCTCATTCTGACAAATCACCGAAACCAGAGAAATTGGGAAAACTGAGGCCCATGGAGGGGAAACTATACATCATCACACTGCTGGTTAATGTCAGTTCTAAAAGTAAAGTCTCCTGACTTCTGACAGCATTCTGGTGCAATTCTTTTTTTTTTTTTTTGCGGTACGCGGGCCTCTCACTGCTGTGGCCTCTCCCGTTGCGGAGCACAGGCTCCGGACGCGCAGGCTCAGCAGCCATGGCTTACGGGCCCAGCCGCTCCACGGCATGTGGGATCTTCCCGGACTGGGGCACGAACCCGTGTCCCCTGCATCTGCAGGCGGACTCTCAACCACTGCGCCACCAGGGAAGCCCCTGGTGCAATTCTTGACGCACAGTGCTCAAGCTGCACAGTTCAGAAAACCTGGGTGTGACCCCTAACTTAGCTGTGTGGCTCTGGGGAAACGTCTACACAAGTAAGATGAGGCTCAAGGATAATGGTGTGACTCTTTGAGAGGGAAGCGCTGCATCGAACTGGCAGGCAAGCAAGGCCCTACTCAGAAGACTGAGAACTGTCTGCTTTGGGACCAGTTTTACCTAGTGGCAGGATTTAACAGAGGCTACTTATGCTCCTCTTAAAAACCCAAAGCACCCGAAGTCAAGATAACACTCATGAAGAAGAAATGATACACTCTGTACCAGCCTCATGGAAGTGCCACCAGTCTTTCTAATAGTCCAGCCCCGAGCCTACGTTTCTTTTTACATTTAACCTACATTACGTTACCCTTAATGACTAATAGGGAAGAAGGAAAAACTGCTTCTCCCGCCAACATTAAGATGGCAACTAAGGAAAATGGAGATGCAACATTTCTACAGACCTCAGTGGGAGGAAAACAAAAGCCCCATGAGCTCCACTTTTTCTACAATAAATGGCCTCAAAGCCACGAACTGAAGAAGCCTGTCTGTTCTACCTGCAGCTGAACAGCTGCTTTACTCCTTCCCATCAGTACAGGAGTGCTGACTCACCCTAACTACTCATGTATTCTATAATCCCTAATTCTTACTGTTACAACAACTCACTTTGTGGGAGGCTTCTGGGGCAGCTAGGTCACCCCTAGCTGAAAGAGCCTATGTGATTATCACAACATGCTGCACACGTTACTTCTCTGGACTGTACTTAGTACATTCTGATTTTTACTAAAGGAAACAGTCTTAACCTTGTTTCCTAACTCATGGAAAATCGGAACCTTTAAACAAAAGGGGGACGGGTAGGCTAAGAGAAGCAGAAACAGACAAGAGAAGCTTTCTTAGAGCATTCCAAACTAGAGTGTCTTCAGGGGTATTCAGTGCCCATATCATACATTAGGCAATTAATCGTGGTCCACCTTACATCTTCTGAATTTATTGCAATGAAGACTTTCATGGATTTCTCATTGTCTCAACTTGGTTTGATACTCCTGGAGGGCAGTGATAAGCTCACAACAGGCACAGTGTACAGGCACAGTGCCATGAACATTTTAAGTGCTCAATAAATGTGTTGGTTTGATTGGTCCCCATGTCTTCTACCTCCCTGAAATCTGGCTTCCACTCCATCATTTTACCAAAACTTGTGAAAATCAATGACCAGTGACCACTTTACTTTTTTTTTTTTCTGTGCAGCATGTGGGATCTTAGTTCACCGACCAGGGATCGAACCCATACCCCCTGCAGTGGAAGCACAGAGTCGTAACCATTGGACTGCCCAGGGAATTCCCCAATGACCACTTTAAAGTCCAAAAGTCTTTTTTCTCACATTTCATTCTTCTTGACTTTTCTGTACTAAGGACCGTCCTCTCCTTGAAACGTCCTCCTCCCTCGGCATTTGTATTCCTCCCACTTATTTAACCATTCCTTGTATCTTTGATCCTGGCTCACTTTCCTACTCCCACAACCTAAAACATGGTTTTCCTGAAGGCTCAATCCTAGGACTCTTGTTTCTCCACTCCTACAGGCATGCCCTCAGGAAGCTGACCCAATTACACAGATTAAACCATCACCTCTACACAGACGATGCCCAATCTCTACCTCTAATCTTGACTTTTCACACAAAGGCCAGTCTCATAACTCCAGTTACCTCCTGGGCATTTCTACTTGGAGGCCTTGTCACTATAATAAAGTTAAACTTAAATTCACGCTTCAAAACCACGTCCTAGTTGGCCCAGAATCGTGAGCAGCTGCGTGAACAGGTAAGCTAGGTGAGGTTGGCTATGGCTGATTCCAAGATGCTAGAAAAATAAAAAGTCAAGTTGGGAGATAACTCAGACTTCTGAATGCTACTGCTGTAAATCCAGAGGAAGCATCAAGTTCTGAGTCCAAGAGTTAAACACAGAGAGAAGAATGAAACAGTGTCTTCCAACACCATTCATGATGTGAACAGAAACCAGACCAGCAAAAGAACGCTGGCGACTGCCACACAGTAATTATATGCCTCAAGGATTTGGGGATCTCATCTTTCCCGCATGGCCCTTACCTCTTGCTCCCAGCCAAGTGACTTCCGGACTTGTGTCCTCTGTTCTGACCTCAATACCCAAATTTCCTATTGTTGCTGCTTATCATACATGGGTGTTCTGGTGGCACTTCGACCATACTCAAAGCTGAACTCATGATCCCTATTCCAAAGCCTTATCTTCATTCTCCTGTGTTTTTATTTTGGTTGATGCCGTAATCTTCCTCCCAGTTTGGGCTGTAAGTCTCCAAATCGTCCATCTCCTCTCCTTCATGTCAGTCTGCCTCTGGAAAACCAACCCCTCTTCTGCTCACAGTGCAGAGGCTGAAGCCACCCATCCCCTCACTTCTCCTTCTACAGTGGCCACGTGGCCCACGGCCTATCATCACACTCCATCCCCTTGGCTGCAGTGATTGATGCAGTGATATATACAGTTGGGCCAACTACACTTTCTCCTAAAACTGGATCTTGAACACAGTGAAGCCTGAACTGAAAATTTTTCATGTTAATTCATCCCGGCAGCAGTCCTTGAAGAGACTGTCTATTTGCTCCTGCTCCTAAATCCCGACAGCTGCTCTGGTTCCCATTCTTCCTGAAACTTAGATCTTCAGCTATTCTGTTGATACTGTAAGCGACCCCATACTCTTCCAATAAATTCGGCCGCACCCCCCAAAAAACAAATTTTTGCTACCCAGAGTTGTCTGCCTGCAACCAAGGAATCCTGATACAGCCTGCGATTCTCTTTTCCTCCTTGAAGTCCCCTTAATCTGCCCCCCACCTCTTTTCTCCTCTCACTGGCCTATGCATCACTTTTGCTAGAACCTTTTCAATATCCTAGCATACAGCCACCCTAGACTAGAACCTTTTCAATACCCTAGCATACAGCCACCCTAGACTAGAACCTTTTCAATGTCCTAGCATACAGCCACCCTAGACCAGACCCTTTTCAATGTCCTAGCATACAGCCACCCTAGACATGAGTTATTTTTCTAAAGCACAGCAGATTATGCCATTTCTTTTCAAAAGCCGTCAGAGGCCCTCCACTGTAAAGACAATAAATGCCAACTTCTCAGCCTACCGTCCAGGGCCTTCCAGTCTGCCCCCAGTTTACTTTTCTAGTTCTTTCTCCCATGAGTTAGTTACCTCCCTAACCATTTACCACAGCCCTGGTGTACCCTACTCCCGTTACTTCGAACTACTTGCTATTCCAAAAAACGCGCCTGACCTCTCACCTTGCTTGCTGCTTGTGCCACCCTCTCCCTCTGGAACATTCTTCCCCCAACTCTGCCAGAGGGAATCCTTCCATCCTGTAAGGCTTATTTAAATTCTCTCTTTTTCTTGAGACCTTCTGTGGTAGGCAGAATAATGTCTCCTCACCAGCCCCAAATATGTCCACATCCTAGTCCCTGGAACCTATAATGATGTTACCTTATACATAAGGGGACTTCAGGTTGCAAATGGAATAAAGGTTGCAAATCAGCTGGCCTTAAAACAGATTATCCTGGATTATCTGGGAGGACACAATGTATTTATGAGGGTCCTTAAAAGTAGAAGGGGGAGGCAGAAGAGGCCAAAGTAATAATGTAACGTACAAAAGTCTCAACCCACTGTTGCTGGCTTTGAAAGTGGAGGAAAGGGTCCATGAGCCAAGGAATGTGGGCAGCTTCTAAAATCTGAAAAAGGCAAGGAAACAGATTTTACCCCGGAGCCTCCAGAAGGGAACGCAGTCTGGCAAACACCTTGATTTTAGCCCAGTGTAGGACTTCTAACATACAGACCTATAAGATAACAACGTGTATTGTTTTAAGACATCAAGTTCGGGATAATTTGTTATAGCAGCCACAGAAAACTAATACACGTTCCCAGAGCACACTTTTTCTCTCTGAGATGCAGTTCCTTAAAGAAAATAATTGCTACTGACAACCATAGAGGGCTGTGCAGAACGAATCAAAATAGGTACCAAAGATATTCTTATTCTTGCTGAAAATGCCTGCTTTAAACTACTTTCTTTACATCTACCTCATTCATTCTTTCAACATGTACAGACACTGTCGATGTGCCAGCACTAGGAACGAAATTTGAACAATGAGCCAGCTCTAGGAATGCAAGTTTGAACAATGAAAATTCCCTGTCCTCAATAAGGTTACAGGGCATTAGGGAAGACAGAAAAGTTAACAGAAGATAAGGAAGTAATACGATGCTTACATTATCCAGCAAACAGAGGTGGCCAAGGGAGGATATGGGAGGAACACCTAACCAAGTTGTGGGTTCAGGGAAAGACTCTCAGAGGAAATGATGTCTAAGTTGAGACCTCTAAGACAAGCAAGAGTTAAAACAAGTGTGTGTGGGGAGGCGGTCGGGGGCAACATCCAAGCAAAGGAAAAAAGTATATGCAAAATCCTAGAAGTGGAAGTGCCCAGGTACTTCAGAGGAACAGCAAGCGGTGTAGCGGGACCACAGACACAGAGAGAGAGAGTAACGGAGAAAGATAAAGCAATTGAGGTACGCAGAGCCACGTCACCTAGGACCATGTAAGTCATGTTAAAGATTCTACTCTTTATCAAGAGCAACAGGGACCTACTGAAGGGTTAAAACAAAAGACGTAATCCACTGGTTTGGAAAGCAGAAAGTGAATTGAAAGGAGGCAAATTAGAGGAAAAGAAACCACATGAGACAGTTCTGACCTATGTCAAAAATAAAGGCATTCTCTACTCACTCACTTACTCATTCTTCCATTTCAATTAATACTTTTCTAAAGCCTACTACTGGCTTGTGCTAGGCTCTGGGAATAAGAAGGATAATCCCTGCCCTAGTAGAGTTTAGAGTGTTTTACAGGGAGACAGACTTATTAATTAGGAAGAAATGACAAGACATGGTGATTAATGAGATATGGGAAGTGAAGGAAAAGGTGAATCAAAGATGACATCTAATTTCTGCTTTGGGCAACTAAGTAGATGGAGGAGCCATTTGCTGAGATGGGGAGCATTAAAGGTAGAATAGGTTCATCTGGGGGTAGATGATGAGTTCCACTTTGGATGTTCATTCACTCAGGGGACATTTACTGTTTGATGAGGATAAGAGTAGCTATCTATGAGACATGGCCAGTAGGACCCTGAATATAGAGGTCAGCAAATGAAGAGAAGGATCTCAACAGGGAATGGCCATGATTTACTCTTCTATCATGGTAATAAGTACAGATGCTTGCACCAAAAGTGAATATCTACTCTTTTCCAATGGTATTTACTTAGTACCTACTATGTGAACACAGTGAACAAAAGAGACTAAGCCTGTCCTCAGACTTTACACCCCAGCAACGCCTGCCAGCAATCTGTGGTCCCACATGATGCTCAACGTGCCTGCCAAGGTGTTTGCTGCCCGAGGCTGTACCCTCACTTCTCCTCTTGGGCCATTCCATGCTTCTAGGTAAATAGTTACAGTGGGACGTGCTGCTCCAGGAAGGAACTTTCACTGATCACAAGGACAAAAATGAGGACACCTTGATGCGGATTCCTAGATCCTTTCCTTAGTCTTTGTGTCCTTGGGCTAGAGAGTCTGCTTAATGTCAGACATAACATGGCACAATACCAACCTTCCAGGAGGCTTAATTATTTAAAAATGTGTGCAGACTTATATCGCTCACAGGTGAAAGCTGTCTGAAAAGTTTTGTTAGATAGTATTAAAAACCTTTCCCATATCTTGATGCTTACATAAGCATTAAGATGAAGTATCAGAAAGAGCATATTTTGGGAATTTTAAGCAAAATCTTACAGTTATGGAGTGATATTATATAAAAGGACTTAGAAGGCTGCAAATGAACATGCCTTCTTTGTCTTAAATCCTCTCCTTGACCTCCAGAAGCCTGGCAATGTGATAAAATCTTATCTGACAGAAAAAATACTGGGGTATTTTGGGCTCTTCGAATAATCCTAGAAGCACAGACTTGTAAAAGAACAAATGCCACAGAAACTAAGGTTAAAGGCTTTAAGCATAAAAAGGAAAAGAATGTAAAACATGCAGCTACCTAGCCCTTGCAGTTTTGAAGGTGGAAGTCCCATAGGGCCTACCTGTAAGGATAAAAGGTTTTAGATTAAGGAGTTTCAGAGAGAAGGTCACCTCCTTATAGACTGGAAAATGAGACATCTGGGAAAGAGAGACACAAGCTATGCTCTCTTGAGGGGAAGGAGAGCTGCTCCCTGGTTCCTGAGAGGTACTGTGGAAAATATTCTACATAATCATTGCCATGTGGCAGTGGCCTCAGCATGTTCTCAAAGAGCCCATGCTCCAGCAACTTACTAGGAATATATAACCTGAGCTAGGACCCGCTGTCCCAGAAACAATGAGATGGCGCAGCTCCAGCGGCGGTGGTGGCACGCAACTCCTCTGCCTTCGCACATAAAACGTGGAGCGGCAACCCTAGCTGGCACAAGGAGGACAGACAGCAGTTAGGGGTCACAGTACTGCACCCCTGGCTTCGGCAATGGACAAATGGTATGCGTGGTGGGGTCATCTGGTTTGAGCTAAGGGAGTCTGAATAGCAGTGAAGAATAGTGAGAAAATATCTTCACATGGTTTCTTAGCCCAAAGCCCAGGGTTGGATCTCCGAGGTGGGAGGCCCTGCCCACAGATACTCACCTATAGTTTTCCTGACACTTAGGTGTGGCCTAGTGCTTCAAATAGACCAGGGCTAGGGTACAGATATTTTCTGAGGCACAAGGGTCTATAGAAGTCTGGTACTTTCCCACCCAGACTGTGAATGGTACAGGATAAGGGCAGAAAATGCCAGAAAAGTATAGCTGCACAAATTGGTTTAGTGACACTCATACAAAACAGTCAAACATTAGATAATGTATATAAAGCATTAGCTTAGAGCTTTGTTCATAGTAAGTGCTCAATAATGCCAAATAGTATGATCCACTCACAGAGATATACTCACGTATAGATATGTACACCTATCTCTACCACTCTGGAGAAGTCCCGATAGTCACTCTGCTTTCTGGACCAAAAGAAGGTCAACGGTCATGGGCCCAGATAGGCAAGGTTCACCCTCATGAATGTCATTTCAGCAGCAATGTAGACTTTGCAGGGAAAAGCCAAGCCAAGGGACTTCAATTCGAGGACGTTTACTCTTCTGCTATCTGGCCAAAGATGGGCAAGGCAGGAGCCAGGAAGCAGGGGAACCAGTGTGGGGCACTAGCAGCACAAGGATGGCAAACAGAAGAGGCTAAGGTAGAGCAGTTTTCTGGGGCAAAGACGCCACACTGAGCCCACGGGGCTATAGTAGGGACCTTTCAATACATCCTCCTGCACGGGATTTTGCCGCTCACCCCCAGTGCTTCCTCCATTCTTGTCAGAAGGCCTAGCGCGAACCGAATCCCTCTTTGTTCTCAATCTCACATTCTGGTTTCTCCTCCCTGGCCTTCCTACACCCACGTTTTCTTAGTTGATGCCCACTTCCATCAACCCCCTGAAGCCACCTTTTCAGATCCTCAGCCAGCCCTGTAGCAAGAGGAGTGTGTTTTCGCTGCAGAGCATCCTAAAGGGCTAGTTTGGCTCCTGACACCTACTTTACACGTCTAGTTCTGCTCTGGAATAGTCAACACAAAACAAACGTGTACTCTGATCGTACTTGCTCTCTTCTCTCATTTTGCCTCAAACAGAAACCACAATATTTAATAATCTGGTTTTACTTAAAATTCTGCCTTTTTTTAGACAGCTAGGATATTGTCTTCCTTAAAACCCAGTTATTTTAGCCTGTAGTATCTGCTCACAAACTTACTCTCTCACAATAATGTTGCACAACATGGAACATATACTCTTGAAGATGAAACTGCTTGAGAGTGTGAAAATGGAAATGTTCAGGGAAAAATAATATGTAAGTGACAAATATGATAACAATGAAAGCAAGTGGGCCAGAAATCAAAGAAAAACAAAATTTTGAATTGACTCTCTAAATGGGAAACAGTCTGACCTCTGTTATGCGAAAACGTACCTCTCGCCATTAGGCCCCACTCTGTTGATTAGTTTTTCCATGGCTTCCTCTGTCTCCTTCAGTTTTTCTTGTAGTTGAACAAGCTCAAAATTGGCTGAAAAATAAGCATCAATCTAAGAACCGTCATGTACAACTCCCTAAGCCCTTTTCTGAAACACGGCTGGCTGTGACGCTCTACAGTAATCCAGGCTGGTCCTGAGATTCAGCTAATCCAATCAGGACACAAAGGGTACTGAGGTCTAGACACCAAGACCTAAAGGATACACATTTAGAAAGTGATGAATAAATCACTCTCTCACACACAGAAATATAGCAGGACCAGCCAAAGAAAATACCTAGGAGTGAAAAACATAGCCCTACACAGTCAGCCAAGAAGGAATGAAGATAACTCCTTTCTAATTCAAATGATACTTGAGGATAAAGTACCAAATCTGCTAAAGGACTTCAGAAAAGGTGTTAAGACCCTGAAATGAACAATATTTCACCTGTCCCTAGGATCTGAAAACTTATATGGAAGATAACAGTATAAAAGTTACTCTTCTTCAACAGAAGAAGTCTTGAACTAGGGCTGAGACCTTCCTGCCCAAGGTTTTCTACTTCAGTCATCTGGGGTGAGTGGTATAACCCTATCTCCCAGAAGCAGCTTTCTCAACAAGGGTCAGACAGGACCACAACTACTAAAAGTAATGTTAAGACCCTAAAAGTAGAACATAAAAAATCAATCACTCAATCAGTACACGAAATGAACTTTAAGGTAACAGGAAAATAAAATGTTGCTCATTATGTAGATAATCTAGTTATTCTGTTTCACACCCGAGTATCATTGTACACAGATATATTTAGAGGGTCACTATAAAATGTAATATTTCAAAGGCTTTTTAGTACTTGTACAACAAATTCTTATGCATGCAATTAACATCTGTGCCACACAAATGCTTAGGTTATTTTTATTTTCTGTATGATTCAAAATTGAAGCATAAGAAGTTGATATAATTGCTACTACATTATCTTTGTTTTAAATGCATTATGTGACAGGATACAGAATTTGCTACTCTTTAGTTCACAAGTCTTTAAAAACAATTTCATGATGCATTTACAATCACTTTTGGTAAGACACTATTTCAATTAAGAATGCAAAAATTCAAAAAAAAAAAAAAAAGAATACAGCAGGGATCACAGTCATTTTGCTGATGCCTTTCTTTTAAAAAACTCCGATGAGGCTTCAGTATCCACAGGATAGTTTGGCCTTCAACAACACAGCTTATCCTGCCTACTCTTCATGCCTTCTTTCCCACAGCTGCCCTCTGTCAGACTGCGTCTTACTCAAGCACCCTATCTAATAGGCCCTCCTTCATACACAGCTAGGTGCGATTTCCCAGAAGGCTTTCGCCAAGTCCCTTCCTTCTAGGTGGTAAACTTTTCACAAGTTATTTTTCCCTGACATTCATCCTAGACTATAAATTCTCAGAGGGAAGAGGCATGCCATATATATTTCATTTTTCCAGAGAGCACAGAATATTCTAATTGGTCGGTAAATATTGGATGATCATGTTTCAAGAGTCAGAAGTGTTAAACTCTGTCCCTAGATCTAATAACTGACTTTGACAATGACTTGATCTCACTGCCTCAGTTTTCCTCTATGTGAAGTAAAGAAATTTGCTACCAATATTCTGAAGTCTAGAAATGAGAAGTAACCCATTCCGAGTGTAAAATATTAAGCTGCTAATATATAAAAAAAGTGAACTGGTGGTTGTTTTCTTTTTATAACTATCTTTCCCTTAAAAGCCCAACATCAATATGGAAACTTGAGAATTCCCAGAGCTAAGGTAAAAATCGGCATCAGATTAATCTGGGACAACTTTTGAGACATGCTTTTAAGACATATCCACAGATTGTCCCTCTGGCTGTATTACAGCTGTCTGACTCAATAAAACTTATAAATATACTGAAAGGGGCACTTACTAATTTTCCTGTGGATGCTTCCAGGTGTGGCAGTAGAGCACTTCCGATCCTCTGCAGTACTTTTCCCCTTTGAGAGCTGAGAATTGAAGGAGGTACAGTACATCAACAGCAGCTCAGAACCTCAAAGTCATGGAACCCCTCATATTAAATGGAAAAAAAAAAGGTTGGGAGAAAATCAAATCAAATAGCAACATTAGAAAAACATCTCAAAAAAAAAAAAAAGCCAACAGAAGGTTTCCAAGTAAAAAATTATCAAGGTCAAGGCACAAGAAAAAAATCTCTTCACAAGCCATCTGCCTTGCCCAGGCTCATCCAAGACTCAACCTGGGCTGCCTGCAGAATTCCTAGGCAAGAATGAAGTCACCTCTTACTCTAGCTAGGAGGGCAGCCTCCTGCTTCTACTTACAGTGCCCAGGCCCAGGCTCATGGCTGGCCAAAGCCCGCCTGGAGGTAGAACTTAACTGGGAGTCTACTTTTAAAAGGACCCAAATTGGGCTTCCCTGGTGGCGCAGTGGTTGAGAGTCCGCCTGCCGGTGCAGGCGACACGGGTTCGTACCCCGGTCCGGGAAGATCCCACATGCCACGGAGGGGCTGGGCCCATGAGCCATGGCCACTGAGCCTGCGCGTCCGGAGCCTGTGCTCCGCAACGGGAGAGGCCACAACAGTGAGAGGCCCGCATACCACAAAAAAATAAAATAAAAGGACCCAAATCATATCTCCCCAGAGCTGGGAAATATCAGGCTTAGTTTCAGGACGCGGCAGTTCTGTTTCAGGAGAATTACTACAACTGATGTTAAAAACAGCACCTCATGCTCCTGCGGGTAAAAGGAAGAAAAAGTGGTGTTGGTACAGTCATTATTTGGCCTCACAGTGGCTACCTCGAAATCATTATGCCAATCCTCATGATAAAGTTCTTCTTAGAACACCTTTATGCCTTTACAGTTTGCAAAGATGCCCAATCAAGAAAAAATTGGGGCAGGGTCGGGGGAGGGCAGGCTTTGAACTTTATTGCTCAGCGGATTAAGAACTAGAAGATTCAGGTTCAAGTGTTGGTTCTGCATTTTTAGTTGTGAATTCTGGGGCAAACTGTTCAGGTTCTGAGTGAAGATTTTCTCATCTGTAAAACTGAGATACGTGACAGCTATCCTAGGTACCTCATAAAGAGGAGGCAAGATTTAAAGAGATGATAGATTTGAAAAAGGGTTATGAACTATTAAAGGGTTTTAATGCTGACAATGATTTTTATTATGATGATACTGGATTTTCACTGATGAAATATGATCAGGATGACTCCACTTACCTTAAATAAAATGTACAGTATATATAAAAAAATCCCAAAACCGTAGATTGGAATAATCTGCCCCATCAGGCCTCTTCCACTACCTCCTCCTCCAGTGCCTCCACCCGGTCCTTTAGCCTTTGCAAAGGCCTCTGCAAGGTGAGACCTCTGGAAGCGAGCCCCAGAGGTCTGGCCATCTGAGGGGGCCTGGTGATGATGCATCATAGGTGGAAATCGACCCAACTTCCCTGAGAAAATAAATTAATCAGTCTTTATTACTTCTACTATTTTACATATGGCTATTAGGAAAACACCTCACGCACTGAGATACATAACAAGTCAACTCAAAAGTTTAAGAAAAAACGGCAACTTGATTATAAGGATATAGAGGCATCACAAGAGTATCACACGTATAATAAATATGATGTGGCAATCTCTAGCTGTTCACCAAACCCATTTTCTCTTCCTTTTGGGTCCACAGGTGGATAACATTGTTCAGCTTCCCATACACTTAAATGTGGCCGTGTGACTGAGTTCCAGACAAAGCAATGTGAATGACAGGTGCTAGTTCAAGGCCTGGCCTATACAACGTCCCATGTATTGAACTCCACGTTCATTTCCTTTCTGCAGGCTGGATGCTAACACCTACAGAGACATTGGAAGTCATGTGTTGAAAATGGCAGAGCTTCCATCAACCCGAGTTCCTGAGTAACTGTGTGGCACAGAGCCGTCCACTGCCACCACCTCACCAACTTAGAACCATCTGGACCTGTTTATGTGAGTGAGAAATAAACTTCTGTTGTGCTAGGGCCATTATACACTTTGGAGTTTATCTGTTAGAGTAGTTAGCCATCCCTAACTAATACACATAAGGAAATGCAATCTGATCTCAGAAGAGAACACAATCAGAAACTGGAAAGCCATCAGGATACCAGACAGCTACTCTCACATTCTACTTCAATCGTTCTCCCTCTCTGTGGGGCCAGAGGGCTTTTTTCTCTGTTCCTCTGTGCATATCTTCCTCATTCTCATTTCTCCGCCAGCATTTCTCTAGCTTCTCTGTGAACATAAAGGAAGATGTTCACTCCCAAAACACCTCAATCTGCATGTCCTTCAAGGGGCCAGCAGAGACTGGTCATAATTCCAAATTCCCTGCATACCTTCTCAGCTTGGGTAGGTATGCAGCACTTTCTAATCAGCTGTAGCTGAGCAGACAGGATTCATGTAGTACAAACGGTCACAGGGGCTCAGTCCTGTGAGTGGAAGTGCAGGGCTTAGAGAAAGGAGCGTGCATCAGTTTTCTCACATTTTTTTCTTCCATCAGGGGCAGCCAAACATTAACAGCGTCAAGCCTCCTCCAAGTCACAGGTGACAAAGAAAGGAAAGACTTCTCTTCAAAAGGCCATGTAAACAGGCTTGTGTGGATAATCCATTGACAGAAAACACTAAGGAGCAGAAAGACTTCCCGACTCAGGCTCTAAAAATACAAACTACACAGTAAAAACTGTTGGATTTGACTTCAATAAAATTATGGATTTCTGTTCAATAAAGAATACCATAACAGGGTTAAGATAGATGACAGGCAAGGAAAAGCTTCTGCAACGTCTAAAATTGACAACGGATTAAATCTCTAGCATAGACAAGGAATTCTTACAATTTGATATGAACATCAGAGGAAACCCAATAGAAAAATGGCCAAAAGATATGAGTAGGAAACTCACAGAAAGAGAAGTTCAAATGGTTAACAAGTACATAAAGAGATGATCAAAATAAAACCAACAAGAAAAATGCTAATTAAAACAATGAGCTAGTACTTATACCTATAAGAAGGGCAAAAATTAGAATGGTGGGTAATAGTAGGTACTGTCAAAGATGTGGGGAGGCAAGAACTCTCGTGTATTATGGGTAAGAGTGTAAACGGATACAGCCATTCTGCTAAGTGATCTGGCTGCACTGAGTGACATTAAAGCTACGCCCTATTATCCAGTGATCCTATACTGGTGGATAAATTCCAGAGAAATTCTCAAATAAGGCTGTCTGTATCCGAATTCAAACTATAGACTCTATAGACCTGTGTGAGAATGTTCACTGTGACGATGTTGTAGCAGGGAGCCTGAAGTAACTTGGATCTCTGTAACTGTTAGAATGCAGAATCAAAATGGAGTAGATACAAACATGAAATTCCACGCAGCTTTTAGAAAACACTTTAGATACACCTACAGCAATATGAACATATCTTAAAAAGCACAGCATTGAGAAAAATAAGCAAATACCACATGTAAGCTAAAGACACACTATAATTATACTACGTATCTTTCAAGCAAATATGTAGGTATAAGGACATAAAACAAACACATTAGAGTGGGTGCACATGAACGGAGAAAGGAATGGGCATGTGGAGTGAAGGTAAAGGGTTAAAAAGAAAGTAACGAAATAAGAAAGCAACCTTGCACTGGTGATGTTAATCGGGGGCTACGAACTGAGGACTATCTTCAAGTCAACTCTCTGCTCCTGAGGTGAGAGAGATGGTGGGTGGGCAGGCAAGGAGTGAGACAGGCAGCCACTGGGCCTGGGGGCTGCCCTCTGCCTGTATCCTCTCTCAGCCGGGCTCCACCCCAACAATCCTTTTTTCCCTCTTGATACTGACTTCGGGTGACATGGAAGTTAGAAGAAATGCTTCTTTTTAAGAGGAGGCCAGCAACAGAAGCACAACTTCAGACAGTAGAAGCAAGCAAGCAGGTCACTAGTCCTTATTCTGGGTACTGGTGACTATTTTGCTACTAAACTGTCAAGGATCTTAATATCTTAAATGGTCCTAGCTTTAAGGCTATAATGCACTTTGAACAAATGCCTAGCCAGCATGTAAGAAGCTAACCTTTCCCTTGAGAGAATCTGATATATCGGGTGGTTGCTGCTCAATAAACTACATTTAATATCTGTAGTAATACGTTGTTGAACTTCATTTAATTGTACTGAGAAGACTGTTCTCAAAACTTGCCATAAAACAAAATATAAAAAATTAAAACCAAATAATGGCACAAAAGGCATTATTTTGCATTTCTAAAATCGAAAAATGATGATGCTAAACATCACACATCTGCCCCCAAAACTTTTATAGATCTGTCAGCCAAGAAGATTTATTGGACCACTATTATGTTCAGGACTCTGTGCTGTAGGTAGGAAAGGAAGAGAACCATAAATGAGACGGAAACAATGGTTCCCACGTGAAACAATGCTTTTAAAAAGTAGCATATCCAAAACAAACAGCAAAAAAGGAACAGGGTACTACGGATCTTATTACTAGACAAACTAAACGTCTAAGTATTGAAAGAATGCAAAAAAAAGGGAGAGGAATCAGATGGGATCAATCACTGAAGGGAGTGAGACTCAGAACAGAAGAGAAGCAAAGGCACACTAGGAGAAAAGAGGACTGTGTGCAATGAGAAAAAAGATGAGAACAAAGAAATAAGAACAAAGAATAAATAAGGTTAACTCAAATCCAATAAGGGAAGTAACAAGAGATAAGGAGAGGAAAGCAGCGGTGGGTTAAATGTTAACTTGTGTCATATAAATTTAATACTGTGGATCTAGGATCAGGGAAATGATTTAATCAGAAGGGTGTCTGAGGAGGATTATTCCAGCAGTTGAGTAAGGACCTAAGAGAGAGAAACTAGGATCTGGGAAATCAGCCAGAAGACAGCTATAGCTATAGAAAGGAAAAGATGGGTCCAAGGGCTTTTACCATGTAATGATCAGCAACATTTAATAATGAATGGGGAGTGGGGGATTGGAAAACTCGAAGGTTGGTTTAAGATACTAAGAGAAGACAATGAGGAAAACTGGGAGGGCTTATGGTTAGGGGAAGACTGAACACCTATTTTTCACATGTTAAATTCTAGGCGTTGTTGGCATATTCAGAGGAAATTTTTATTAGACTGTAGTTAGGCTTGAGAAGAAACTCTGAGCTACCTAAATGACAAAGCTAATTAAAATTGCATGAACAGTTCCCGTACCAAAAAAAATGGAGGGGTATGTGTACTTATGTGCAAAAATAGGAAGAAAAGAAAACTGCGCTGGTCAAAGAAGACCAGAAGCAAACCAGTATCATAAAAGTCAAAGGAGGATAGACTTTAAAGCAACTGAGAAATCTAGAACAAACTGATAAAAGACTAACGGCTATCCCTGTTTTTAGACCCAATGTATTCTTGGGAAAAGGATGGCCATCATATGTAATCTTGACTGTCCACCTATTTGGACAATAACAGAAACCAATATACTACAAAGCATCATAGAATCTTCAGAGTCAGAAGGAGCCTTAAAAGTCATCCAGCCTCTCAACAAATGCTATGGGGACAAGACATTCACATGCAAAAGAATGAAGTTAGACCCCAACCTCACACCATATTAAATTTCTAAAAACTAACTGAAAATAGATTGGAGACCTAAATATAAGTGCCAAAACCATAAAAGTCTTAGAAAATAATAAACATAAATCCTACAAAAAAAACCCAAAAACATAAATCCTTGTGACCTTAGATTAGGCACTGTTTTCTTAGATATGACACCAAAAGCACAAGCAACCAAAGGAAAAATAAGTGGACTTCATCAAATTTTAAAACTTTTGTGCTGCAAAGACACCATCAAGAAAGTGAAGACAACCCACTGAATGAAAGAAAATATCATATATCTGATAAAGGTTGAGTATCCAAAATATATAAAGAACGCTTACCACTCAACAAAAAGACAATCCAATTAAAAATGAACAAAATATCTTAATAGACATTTTTCCAAAGAAGATATATAATGGCCAACATGCACATGAAAAGATGTTCAACATCACTAGCAATCAAAGAAATGTAAATTAAACCCACAATGAGATAGAACTTTACACCCATAGGATGCTATAATCAAAAAGACATAATCGATGGGCCATCCCTGGTGGCGCAGTGGTTAAGAATCCGCCTGCCAATGCAGGGGACACGAGTTCAAGCCCTTGCCCGGGAAGATCCCACATGCCGCAGAGCAACTACGCCCATGAGCCACAACTACTGAGCCCGCATGCCACAACTACTGAAGCCCAAGTGCCTAGAGACCATGCTCCGCAACAAGAGAAGTCACCAAAAAGAGAAGCCCGCGCACTGCAACAAAGAGTAGCCCCTGCTTGCCACAACTAGAGAAAGCCCGTGTGCAGCAGTGAAGACCCAACACAGCCAAAAAATAAATTAATTAAAAAAAAAAAGACATAATCTAAAGTGTTGGTGAGGATGTGGAGAAAATGGAACTACTGTACTCTGCTGGGTGGGAACGTAAAATAGTACAGTTGCTTTGAAAAACAGTCTGGCAGTTCCTCAAAAAGGTAAACAAAGTTTCCATATGACCCAGCAATTCTGCCCTTAGGTATATACCCAAGAAGAATATGTTCACACAAAAACTTATGTACAAGAAAGATCTTGCTGTGATTTATGTCAAAGAGTGTTCTTCCTATGTTTTCCTGTAAGAGTTTTATAGTGTTCGGTCTTACATTTAGGTCTTTTTTTTTTTTTTTTTTGCCGTACGCGGGCCTCTCACTGTTATGGCCTCTCCTGTTGCGGAGCACAGGCTTCGGACGCGCAGGCTCAGTGGCCATGGCTCACGGGCCCAGCCGCTCCGCAGCATGTGGGATCTTCCCGGACCGGGGCACGAACCTGTGTGCCCTGCATCGGCAGGCGGACTCTCAACCACTGCGCCACCAGGGAAGCCCCCTACGTTTAGGTCTTTAATTCATTTTAAGTTTTTGTGTATGGTGTTATATATATACACGCACGTATGTGGAATCTAGAAAAATGGTACAGATGACCTATTTACAGGGCAGGAATAGAGATGCAGATATAGGGAACAGACGTGTGGACGTGGTGGGGGTGGGGGAGGGAGGGTGGGATGAACTGGGAGACTGGGATTGACGTCTGTGCATTGCCATGTGTAAAACAGATAGCTAGTGGGAACCTGCGGTATAGCGCAGGGAGCTCAGCTCGGTGGTGATCTAGATGGATGCGATGGGGGGTGGGGTGGGAGAGAGGTCCAAGAGGGAGGGGATATATGTATACATACAGCTGATCCACTTTGTTATACAGCAGAAAGTAACACAACATTGTAAAGCAACTATACCCCAATTAAAAAAAAAAAAAAACTTGTACAAATGTTTAAAGCAGCATTATTCATAATGGCCAGATGTTCATCAGCTGACAAATAAAAATGTGCTGTATCCATACAATGGAACAGTATTTGGCCATAAAAGAGGAAGGAAGTGCAGACACATGCTACAGTATGGATGAACTTCGAAATCATAATCCTAAGTGAAGAAAAGCCAGTCATGCAAGACTACATATTATATGATTCCATTAATATGAAGTGTTCAGAATAGGCAAGTCCATAGAGACAGAGAGTAGCTTTGTGGTTGCTTGCTGGGGGGAAGTAGGGAGGGTGGAGAGGGGACAGAGGACAGTGACTGCTAATGGGTATGTTTTTTTTTTTCTTGAGG